AGAACTGATGCTCATCACAGGGACATGTGGGCAGTGATTTGCAGCTCTGCTCTGGCCCCATGCTGTCACCTCCCTGCAATCCCAATTCCAGCCCCAGCCCCACTTGCCCGTCCCACTCCCAGATGCTGCTCCTCACCTGTCCACAGCCCCATCCCTACTGCCTGGCTGTGCATGGGGGCCATTTAGAGAGTTTTGGTGAGCTGTGTGGGGGAAGAGGTATGCTGGCTCACCCTGTGACAACTCACCAAAACTCCCTATGTAGCCCACAGGCCCAAATAGTTGTCCACCCTAGTGTAGGCCAATGAATCTCAACCAAGGTGTCATGTTATTTCTTGCAGTAATAGAGACCACACATCAATCATCCCTTTCCACCCTCCCCTGTGTTTTCCTGTTCCCTGCAGTAGTCTCCCACTTTCCCGGGCTGCTCAACCCCCAGGCCACGTGCAACCCCTGCATTGTCATCCAGCCCACAGTGCTACCCATGGATACATAGGGAGCCCTGAAGTGTGGCCCTATGCACTGGATCAGGCAAGCAGGGTGGTGTAGGGCATGATCATGACCTGTGGGGCCAGACAGAGGTGGTATGGGGCTCTGGGCCCCATTTCCACCACACAAGATTAGGCAGAGGTCCTATCCTAGGGTCCCAGCACATGGAAGCAGCTGGAAGCAGTGCAGGGCCCAATGCAGGCATGTGGGACTGATCCTGGTATGTTGGGTGCAATCCAGCCTGCAGACCAGCCCTGTACCACTCATCTGGCTGTGAGGCCAAAAATTTGAGCACCACTGATGTACCTGTATTACATGAAGAGGTACCTTACAGTCTCTTAGCAAATATCCTTTATTTACTTCTTCATCCTCATACGGTAAGGGATGTCAAACAAGGAATAGACATTTTAAATAAGCAGGTCTCAAGCCCTAAAAGAACAAAAGATCTCTCCAACCTACTGGCATGCATTTTCTGTAAAACTGGAAGCATGCTAACATTGTGCCTATATTGAAAAGGAGATAGTCTGACTTCAGTTCTAGGCAGGGTCACCCTGGTACTGGTTGCATCCTCACTCTAAGAAACGCTAACATCTAAACATCTTCCTGAGGCAACAGAAGAGCTGAGTGCCAGGAAATGGGAGCAGAGTAAGTATCACGACAAGAGTCATTGCAAGAAAGGGTGTTGGGCCCCAAACAGAGAGCTGCCAGCTTGCTACTCTAGCACCATACCACCTACCCAGGTCACGTTTCAATAACCACACAAAGGTCATTCCCGTAGGAGGCAGAAATATCTGAAGAAAACCAGACAGACACAAGAACCGTAATTGTGGACTATATTCTGGCCCCTTTTCTGCACTACTGCCAGGCAGATGTTGAAGGCTGCAATCCCGTCCCGGGAATTCCCCGGCGATGTCTAAACAGCGCGGGCACAGGTCGGAAGTGAGAATGAGCATGTCCAGGCCAGGGGAAGACGAGTGCGTCCCGCACCGCCGCACATAGCTGCAGCGAGCAGCTTCACAACAGCAGCTCTGCTCCGATTTATACTGAAGGCTTGGCCCGCAGCTCCGGACACGGAGCGGCCTTCTCCCGCCCCCGCCCCTCGGCCTGCAGGTGGCGCTGCCGCCGGAGAGCCGCGCGCGGGCGCTTTTTGGCCGCTGCGGGCCGCCGTGCCGCCTGCTCGTCTGGCGCCGCCCTGG